AAAAAAAAAAAAAAAAAAAATCCATGAGCCAGGATGGAACATGCACAATGAACTTCTGAGGTGCTTTTATACCATTTTAGAATGATATCAGTAATCTGCTTACATTTTCTTTTTGTATTATTATCAAATATTCAAAAACCACTTACAAAAAAAAATATCACAAAAGTAACTGTTATTTTATCTAGACTTCCCATATCCTCCTTTTCATAATCACTATTATCTCTGCCCAGCCAATGACATCATTACCCTGAGAGCTTAAGAAGACTGAGAAAATAAAATCCCTTAAGTAGATTACATTCGCTTCCTATTCTGAATTGGTTTTACCTGAATTAATCTAAATTAATAAAACATTTACAGTCAATTATACCAATAATAAGATTCAGCCAATCTGCTTTGGTATTTTAATATGATAAACATCCTAATTTACTAACTTACGCAAATTTGGTGCTATAGTTTTGATCTTTTTTAAAGTTTCCAATTTGCTACCAAAATCATAGTTTTCCTTATTTTTTGACCAAAACATCATCCAGAAATTTCAAACAGGTTCTACTTTTTTTCCATTTAACTTAAGCTACCATACTTTTTTTCTTCTGCTATTAGTGTTCTGTTTAGTTATGCTCTTGTAATAAAATCAGTTACAATATATAATCCAAAACATCATCCTACAAAATACTTTTAACTGTTCTACCTATCCTTTTCCTCAAGAAGAAAATTCATCTCTGCCACTATACTTCTAGCTTCAGACTGGAAAATTCTCCAAATTCTCATAAAAAGATAGGTATTATGTACTGTAAATCAGATACCACTCCAGACTACAGTCACGAAGCCCATATGAAGTGCTTGGATGCCTGGTCTTTTATTTGTTTAGAAATGGGGTCTTGCTATGTTGCCCAGGCTGAACTTGAGCTCCTGACCTTGAGTGAGCCACCTGCCTCAGTCTCCAAGTAGCTGGGAGTACAGCTGCACACTACCACACCCAGCTTGGCTACCTATTTTGATAAATGAAGTTTCCACTACACCTGGGGTTTGTTTGCTGGCACTGCAATCATCAGTGCTCTGAAAAGCAAGGTAACTTTCAATCCCTTAGCTCCACAAAAACTACAATTAGAGGCAGAACAGTTTTAAGCTGGAAGAGGCTAGTAGCCCTAAGGGGTACCACTGGACCTCATAAGCAGAAATACATCACATACTCAAAATTTTAATCATGAAAGTTTCCTACATTTATAAAAATGTATCTAAATAGTAAAGAATTTTTACTAGGATTAAACAACAAGTATAATGATTCTTTTTCTCCATTAACAGCTAAGGATACATTTGCAGGTTTATTATTATACAAGAGTGACTACAGTCCTTCTGATAAAATACTCTATTTTCTTCATAATCAGTGGCAAAAACTAAAAGATTCCTCCAAGAATTATAGATACTAATCTCCAGTTAAACATAAGCTATCGCACCAGAAATAGACTGAAATACTAAGATCTCTAAGAAGACAAAAAGGAAAGAGGAAACTGATAGAACACTACAAAGATGCTGATATTAATGAAAAGAAATCATATTTCTCCATCAATATTAACTCAAAGAAACTTATAATCAATTAGAGAATGATAAAATACCGTATTTATTTTTTTAATTTAAAAAGTTGTCCTCATAATACTAGCCTGTTGACTTGTATAAATAACAGCTAGTATTTACACTCTCAGAAAAAAAATAATAAAATAACTTTATCATTATGTGAAGCTATAATTTTGTGCATAGGGTCCATGATATAAGACTGCTACACCTCACAGAATTATACTGTACAACTTTTATATCTATACACATTCCCTCAAACATAGATGTTTCACTGGTTTCCAAGCTATACTAAATAGCATTAAAAAGGTTTTTCAGTATATTTTTCAACTGGCAATATTATTGTTGAAGCTTACAAAATGAGAAAGTTATAAATAATGAACATTTTATTAGATGTCTACCTGTTTCCATATTCTCGGTCTCAACTTCTTGTTCTTCTGCCACATCTTGCATCATATAAGTCTCATCATCATAAACCAGAACCTGGGCTGCATAGCCCTGCTCTAATCTGGCACTTGGAACTGGCTCCACAATCACTGCTGGATATTCAGAAACCTTTTCACTTTCCTATAAGAGCAAATTTAAAAAACAATCAACCTTTGTATTTACAAATTCTGGATTCACTTATAAATCCTTGAACTAATACAGTCTCGAGCAGTCCACATAATGAGTTTCAAATATTATAAATATGAATATAAAAACCAAAACAAGAGATGAAAAGGGCTAACTTTAATAATCCTTTCAAGTTTCAAGAGGTAAGACATAGAATTAAACATTTTAAATAATCTGTGCTTTAGGATTAAGTTGACAGATTAAAAACATGCATATAATTTCACTTAATCATGAAAGCCGACTAAAACAACAGTAAAAGACTATTTTATACCTAAACCCACAAGGACAAGAGGTGAGAGCAACAAACAAGAAGAGATAAGAACAACAAAATCTTGTAAGACTGAAAGTGTCTGGATGAGTATTGAGTAGGTTAGCAGACCCAGCAAAGCCAAATCAGCCTGGCAGAAAAAAAAAAAAAAAAATCTGAGAAACAACACACTGTACAGTGGAGAATCTACAGAAAGCAACACCAATTACACGCACTTTGATTCCTCGACCTTCTCTCTCCTTCGTGATGCTAAGCAACCAGACCTCCTCCACCTCGGCAGGAGATGGGCTACTTTCCAGAGAGGGAACAACAGCAGCATCTTTGAGGCATAATAGGCACAGCTGCTAGCATCATACTCTACCCAAAATGGAGTTTCCAACTAGCTTTTTAATCCATCACTTTTAATCATGAGCAAACAGCCAAATATTACTGAGCATCCAAGGAAAAGCCTCTAACACAGAATGTACATATACATACTCATATTCCACACGAAGAGAAGATACTATAAAGTAAGAACAGATCACAATTCAGTAAAGAACATTTTAAAATACAAGTCAAAAAATTCTTGGAAATTAAAGATACAATAGCTGAAATGAATAAAGGATTGGAAGATAAAATTAAGGCAATCTCCAGGCACCAGAGAAAAAAAGATAAAGCAATAGAAAACATGAGAGAAAAGATAGCAATATTAGATGACCAACCATTCCAGGAGGTCCACTATCTGAATAACAGAGTTCCAAAAAAATAAATCATAAGGAAAAAACAAGAAATAAAAAGATGAAAAAAAAGGTTTGGAAAGAAATCAACAAGAAAGAAGTAAATCAATAAAATTTTCTAAGACTGAAGGATATAAGCTACCCATTTGAAAGGACCCACCAAATGTCTAGTGCAAAAAAATTAAGGAACACATACACAGAGGCATATCACTGTGAAACATCCTCATATTGGGAACAGAAAAGATTCTACAAGCTTCTAGAAAAAAAAAAACACAGATTACTATAGAGAATCAGGACATCGACTTCAGTTTTCTCAACAGTCATACTAGAAGGAAGATGACAGTTGAGCAATTTCTTCTAAATTATGAAGAAAAATTATTTCCAATCTAGGATTCTTCACCCAGTCAAATCATCTTATAGAAGCAGAATAAAGGTATCTTCTCAGACATGAAAGATCTCAAACATTTACCTTTCATGCATCCTTTCTCAACAAGATACTGGAAAATGTATCCCATCAATAAGAGAGTGAATTTTTTTAAAAAGATAACTATTGCAAATACAGGATACAAGAGATCAACATAGGAGATAAACAATGGGAATCTTCAGGAAGACTGTGAAGAGAGATTCCAGGATGCTAGCTATGCACAAGATTCAAAGGGCAACCAGTCCAGAATGTAGCAGCGTGACTCCTGAGACAGCATGATGAATCTGTCATCACTAAGATAACCATTGACATTGTTCTTAAGGACAGAATGCCCAGATGTCCGTTCTAGATTTTTATTGATATTTGGCTTGCCTTGATGTACCTACTCACTCCACCTGCCCTGCTGCCTGGATCAGCTAAGAACACATTTCACCCCGCAGATGTGTTCTGCTTTGATCTACAACGTGTTGGAGGAAGATTACCATGGGCTTAGAAATAAAAGATACGAAACAGCACTCTTCATGTGACCATACACCTGCTGAACAAATATGCAATACCCAGCCCATACCATACTGTAGCACTGCCAGATACCAGAGCAGGATGTGCCTTACATTTCTAAAAACTCATGGCATTGCTCACTGATTACCTGAAGACAAGCTCATGACACTCAGTGAACCTGACACTAGACTATTCAGCTATCTTCTCCTGGAAGCCTTCATCTATTTATGATAATATTGTCCTTTCCTAACTCAATTAGCTTGGTAAACTATTTTTTCAAAATAAAATATTGTTTAGGGCTATTTTCATAGGTGGCAAAACTATAAAGAGAAGTAAAGAAATTATAATACTTAAGTCCAAACAACAGCACCTCTGGAAACAGCACCCAGCCGGGTTTTAATATTTCAATGGTTCCTTCTCTTTGACCATAAAAAAGCTAAAACCATTTTGCATTAAAAAATTCAGGGCTCACGCCTGTAATCCCAACACTTTGGGAGGCCGAGGTGGGCAGATCACCTGAGATCAGGTGTTCGAGACCAGCCTGGCCAACACGGTAAAACCCCGTCTCTACTAAAAATACAAAAATCAGCCAGGCATAGTTGCATGTGCCTGTAATCCCAGCTACTGAGGAGGCTGAGGCATGATAATTGCTTGAACCCGGAAGGCAGAGGTTGCAGTGAGACAGGATCATGCCCCTGCATTCCAGCCTGGCTGACAGAATGAGACTCAGTCTCCAAAAACAAAAACAAAAAAAAAATTCAGGCTGGGTTCAGTGGCTCACACCTGTAATCCCAAAACTTTGGGAGCCAAGGCAGGAGGACTGCTTGAGCCCAAGAGTTCAAGACCAGCCTGGGCAACATATGGAGACTCTGTCTCTACAAAAAATAAAAAATAAATTAACAGCCGGGTGTTGTGGCTCTTGCTCATAGTCCTAGCTACTTGGGAGGCTGAGGCAAGAGGATTGCTTGAACCCAGGCGGTTGAGACTGCAGTAAGCCATGATCATGCCTTTGCACTCCAGCCCAGCAACTGAGAACAAGTCTCAAAAATTTTAAAAAAAAGAAAAAAATTAAACTCTCATTTATTTTAACTGAACTTTTAACTGATCTTTAATTGAAGTTAAAAGGCAACAAGTCCAATTAAAGAAGTTCTTTAACTGAACTTTAACTGATCGATTGAGACACATACTTGTATACATTTCTCAAAAAAATAGTCTAACTCCTTGACTCATCTATATATATGTTGTAATCTATGTTCCACCACTTTACTGAAGCTATTCTCTTTTTTTTTTTTTTTGAGACGGAGTCTCGCTGTATCACCCAGGCTGGAGTGCAGTGGCACGATGTCGGCTCACTGCAAACTCCGCCTCCCGGGTTTACGCCATTCTCCTGGCTCAATTTTTTGTATTTTTTAGTAGAGACAGGGTTTCACCGTGTTAGCCAGGATGGTCTCGATCTCCTGACCTTGTGATCTACCCGCCTCGGCCTCTCAAAGTGCTGGGATTACAGGCGTGAGCCACTGCGCCTGGCCTATTCTCTAAAAATATTTTTTTTGCTTTTTCTCTTTGAGACAGGGTCTAGCTCTGTCGCCCAGGCTGGAGCACAGTGGCACAATCATGGCTCACTGCAACCTCTGCCTCCCAGGCTCAAACCATCCTCCCTCCTCAGCCTCCTGAGTAGCTGGGACTACAGGCGTGTGCCACCACGCCCGGCTAATTTTTTTATTTTTGGTAGAGACAGGGTTTCACCATGTTGCCCAGGCTGGTGTCGAACTCCCGGACTCAAGCAATCTGCCCACCTCAGCCTCCCAAAGCGCTGGTATTACAAGCATGGGCTACCACAACCAGCCTCAAAATGTTAATAACAACCAAATTCCATTTCAGTTTTCAATCTCTGTTGCCTCGCCGCAGACTCATACATTTATTATCACCCTCATTTAAAAAATTCATTCTTCCAACTTTCTCTATCACTCTACTTTCTTTTTTTTTTTTTTTGAGATGGAGTTTCACTCTTGTTACCCAGGCTGGAGTGCAATGGCACGATCTCGACTCATCGCAACCTCCGTCTCCCGGTTTCAAGTGATTCTCAGCTTCAGCCTCCCGAGTAGCTGGGATTACAGGCATGTACCACCCTGCCCAGCTAATTTTGTATTTTCAGTAGAGACAGGGTTTCTCCATGTTGGTCAGGCTAGTCTCAAACTCCCGACCTCAGGTGATCCACCCTCCTCAGCCTCCCAAAGTGCTGGGATTACAGGCATGAGCCACCGCACCTGGCCTACCACTCTATTTTCAAGAGTGTCCTCTGCCTCTTCTTTCATCTCCATAGACTCAAGTCTAGCCAACTTAGTAAGGTTCTATCTTCAGTGTCTCTATACTACCTTCTCAAGTAAGCCCACCCATTCTTATGGTTTCAAAAGCACCTCTACGCTGATAATGACTAAGTATTTGTCCTCTACTCTGACTCATCTTCTGAATTCCAAAACCAAATTTTAAACTACCAACTTTAACATCATTACAGGAATACTCAGCCAACACTTCAAGCTTAACATATCTAAATGGCACAAATTATCTACATCTCTCTGTTTCCCCACTCTGTGTTCTTTAAATCTTGGTTTCTTCATATTTAGAAAAGAGATTATAATATTTCTACCCTTTAAAGTCCCATGACTTTACATGCACAAAGTTCTTAGCATAGTATAAGTACACAGCACAGGGTAAGTTATTCAATTAGTGATAGCTGATATTATATTTTAACAATAGAAATCGTTTTCAAATCTACTATTTGTCCTCAACTTTAGAGGGCACCTTTTCACATCACAATCAGAACTGTTTGTGTTACTTCCTTGCATAAAAAGCTTTAATGACTCCCCATTTGTCTAAAAGGAAACTTTGACATATTAAACAATAGCTTTAACACTCTTTGAAATATAACCCCAACCCACCTGTCATGCGCTGAATTGTGTCCCCCAAAAAGATGAAGTTTTAACCGCTAGTTTCTGTGAATGTGACCTTACTGGAAATAAGGTCCTTGCAGATGATCAAGTTAAGACAA